TTTAATACATTTTAAAAATATATAAAGATATTATTTTTAATAAATATTTTTAATAGAAACTTATTAAATTTGTTTTAATGCCATTATTTCAATGTTATATGAATGTTTATATTTAGAAATGCATCGAATAAATGTTCATTTTTCTTATTATCTGAATAATTTCAATTTTTCAACTTACATCATTTCCAAAATTATTAATTTAATTGAAATGCCACGTAACAAAGTAACTATTGCAACAGCGTTTTACGAATTGTGTCCCGAATGTGACTTTCTTCAATTTCGAAATATACGATGCATGAAAACCGTTGGCTCGTAAAACTGTCGACGTGTCAATTGGCAGTTTCTTTCGCGCTGTGTCTCCATGACCGCGCAACAATGTTGCTTCCAGATGCGGTATGCATTATTCAATGTACCCGGAAGGCCATTGCGGGTCTGCCGAAGTCGACTCTCCTCCACTGTGCTACTTGTATTTATCCGCTACTACTTTCTACATACTTCTAAAGTTCGCAGAAATGCGCTAATGGCGCTTAAACCGAAAGACCAAATGAATGGAAGAGATATAATTCTCACACCTTTTAGGTAGTTATGTTAATAAAGCCAAGTATTGTGATACCCCGTGTAAAAATATAAATTGCAAATGATCCAAAAGATAGGGGGGAAAAAAAAAATTGAACATCTTTAACGTGCTTTTTGCGAAATATTTAATACGCCTGCGCTAACTTGATGCTCAGCCAATTCATTCAAATTATGTAAATTAAGTGCTGCGGTATTACGTAACAAAATACCACATCGGCCATTAAGGATGCATTGCAAAATTTATGAGAGCAAAAGCCATAAGCGCGGATTTTTCGCCGTTTATTGGGAGTGTCGCGTAGCGCTGATATAAAACGGCACGGTAGCTATTAGGTGCAGGATGTAACCGTTCAAGAGCGAGTGTTTAGTCGGGCCCTCATAAATCACGCAAGGGCGACAAGCAATTATAATAACTGTATCCTGATATAAACACGTAAATAAAATACCAAGCCCTTCGGCCAGGTAATGAGGCATACGAAGCTGGATGCGAACCAGTTCCAAGACTCGTTATCGCGGCAGAATAAACAACGAGAGTACACTTTCTCGAGGAAGTTTGTCTCGATTATCAATGTTTCAGGTGCCTCAACGTACGCCGCAATAATAACGAGAGACCGTACAAACGAAAATAAAATTTATTATTACGATAAATCATTTTCTTACGATCGTATCTATACAGCAATGTTCCGTCGTATACGTGTATCGTGTATTTTTTTCACTACTATTTCTATTATTTTTCCCACTGTTTATATTACTCTTACGTTACGCTACAATACACTCTGTTATGTAACGCTGTTTATTCATGAAGAGAATATTAGATGCCTGTTTAAATAGACATCTGGTTATTGAGCGAGACACATACACACGTACACTTGAAACGTAGAGAGTTCGATCGCGCTGTCCACGTAGTCATCTTCCGCATAAAAATATTCCAAGAGAAATCTCCAAAGTCTCAAGGTCACGGGATTTCATCGACCGTGGAATTCGAGCCGAGTTTCAGATTTCAGCGGAACGAACTCGGCAAATTGCAAGAGAGATTAAAAGAACTTTATATACATGAACGTGAAGGAGAACGCTCGGAGAACGCGCTCGCGAACGAGAGAGATCAAAAGTACATGATGCCGTTTACCATAACCTTTTATCAGTTATCTAATTAGCCGTTGCATTTAATTAGCGATCCGAGGAGAGGACCGCGAGATAGCCCTAGCCTCGGTGCGAGACCGACGTCGTACGGGTCTGCATATAAGCTATACGTAATTTTAATCCGCGCCCACGTCAGATAAGGAAAGATCGACGGATGGACTGGCATCTCTGCGTGCGCTTCGCAATTAGCTGTGTTTTTATTTATTCAACGGCTATCTGCCGTTTATTGAGCCACGCTAGAGGTCGGCATAAAACCGTTCGATCGGTCGGCAAGAATTTTAAGAGCCTCTAAGTACATAATGTTACGTTGTTTTTAAAAGTACAAGTCGAGGAAAAAAAAAGAAAAAAAGAAAAATAGAGTATGTTACGTGGACAGTTCCCGCGATAAATCGTAATTTTAATAACTGTATAATTTCAAGATTAAATAGCGATTTTAACACTCAAAGCATCGTAAGATGTCCTTCATATTTACAAGCGTCTTAAGAAGCCTAATTGATGTAAAAAAAAAACTTTTTATGTGTGTATCTCCGTTTATTTTTATCTTTTCTAAATAAAGTTTTCGGAAAGCAAGAGATACTAATTAAATTATTGTGTTAATTTTTCTTTTTTTTTCATAAAATAATTTAGTGTAGGAACTTACCTTTGCCGGATCTTCGATGAAAATTCCGATGGTTATCACATGCAGAGTTACCTCGCGAGTATTTTCAAGTTCCTCTGGTGTTGCGTATAAACCCTCGCTAAGAAAGTACGGTTCAGGGCAAGTCACTCTGTAAGAAAAAAAATAAGTACGATATTATAGTAATTTTTGCTAAGTTTATTAAATACGAGTTAAATTTTATAATATAAAATATAATGTATTCAGTGTTACAGTAAAATATGTGTGTTTATCTATTAAAAATATCATCCTAAAAACTTTATAAAATATAAATCTATTTGTATGCTAATTATTTTTTTAAATATATTTTTATTTAAATTTGTTTCTAACTCGGCATATTGCATATTTTTAATAATTCTATATTGAATCTATTGCAAAATCTGATATTTTAATTAATAGTAATTCATATGCATCTTCAATCAACATAATTATTATAATGTTCAATTTTATTTCTAACATTTTGAATGCATCTCGAGTTGTGCAGAATTATGGGAAAATTATTAGTGACAAATTATTTATTAATTTTCTGTTAATAAATGCAATAAATTTGAGATTAGAATAATAAACTAATTTAATTTCATATCTAAATTTAAGTTTTTGTGATGCTAGATTAATAAATAAGATTCACCGAGCGCAAATATCATATTATTTTATTAATAAATTTTTTTATTACGTTATATTATATTGATTGTACTTGTGACCATCCGAGGATTATTTTGTTTTAATTTAAAGAAACAAGATTCTCACAATTAAAAATAAGATTATATTATTCAATATTTACATATATTCGCAAATGTTTTTTGCATGTATAAAATAAAATATCTAAAATATATCTCCAAACGCGCAAAGTGATTTGTCTTTTAATAATTACGCAAATGCAAAATTGATCTCTTGAACATTTCAAATAAATGGACCGCATCACGGCCTAAATATATCAAACTTTGCGATATTTTTCTTCTCATGTCTTTACACTACTCCCGGAGGTCACGGCAAGTATAATAATAAAAAATAAAAAAAAAAAATTATATGTTCCTTTTTCGTCTTTCGGCGGTTGAAGAAAAAGAGGGAAGATGTACGAGCAGGCGAGAAAAATCGAGCAGTTTGAACGGCCCGAGATTGCGTGGCCAGGCAACATCAATTTGGAGGGTGATTCCCGGCGCTGTC